CATTTCATTTTGCTTCTGAAACCCACATTTTTTAAAGAACTCTTTTGGATTTTTAAAAAACGAAACATTTTGATGGTTCAGTCTTTTAAGGGTGGTGAAAGGTTTCTTTTCATTTATCGCAGAGTTGAAGTGACTGACTGACTATTCATGTTTTGACAAATGTGAAAAAAGGTTTTTGATTGTTTGAGTGCCTTTTGCACAGGTGAGTCTGTGTTATGAAAAACGCCCTAACTGTTTTGTTCATAAAGAGTGGTGAGAGTGACTTTTCTGCTGAGAGAATTGAGCCCATCGATTGAGGAAAAATTATAAAGACAACTAAAACACACTTCATTTTGTGGCCAGTTTCTCTTTTTCTCTCTGAAATTTTAAACCTATAACTTGTATCTCAGCTGTATTATTGTCAAGCTGTAAAATTGCTTTATTATTATCAAGTACTAAAGTAAAAATAGAAAAGCATCTAAATAAAAAACAAAGCTAATTATGTTTCTATGGGCTACTGCTGCTGATTATAGCTCTACAAAATAGCACTTAAGCGAATGATAGCATTTGCTTCACAAAATGAACCTTCGGTTTTGGAATGCTCAATTCAAAGCTTTTAAAAGCAATATTATGCTAATCGTAAAATTTTTACTTTTCTATTCCAAAAATGATTCTCCTCCTTAACTGTGTGCAGTGGCCACTTTAACATTAATATGGAGGAAAAAACAAGAAGCATAGAAGCATTTGGCCTACGAATATTCTGTTCTGTGATCTCACAGGACTGGCATTCATTTTCTACAGCTAAATAAATTTTCTATGGAGAGATGTCCTTTTAGATGACAACTCAATCATCTGTTGACAGTTTACTGGGGATTTGTGCTTCAGTTGGGAGATCTGTGCCATAGCTGCGTCGTTACCACAGATTTCTTTGAAGCCCTACTCCATAATCTGACATGAGTCTCCCTAGAAATGTAACTACAGGTCGACGCAGCTATTGTGATGGGAGTGCTTAGTACTGCCGATTCCTCCTGCACATTGCAGCTACTTTGTTGTCACAGTTTTGGAATTTGTCATTGAGAGAATGACGATCATTGTCTCAGTGTGGAATAAGGAATAATAATCATAGCATCAATATAAGGAGCAAATTCCTGGAGGAAGATTGCCAAAACCGGAATGGATGTGAGGAAAAGCACAAAGTGGCAAAGTTTGAGGGACAAATACACAATAATTAACACCAAATGCACCAGCACAACCATGAACCCAGGCAACGCCATCAGGCTCTACAGGTATCTTTGTAGCCTTTACAAAGATTCCCTGCAGAAGTCTACACCAAGCCTTATAAGCAGGGCTGCACATAAGTGGTCCGCAGGTGCGCATTCGCTGTCAAAATAAAAGACGCGCACCAGGTAAGAAGTTGGAACGCGTGTTTGCATACATAAGATCTGGAGGAGGACAGATATTTGCTCAGAACTCTTAAAGATGTCGAAGCTTTGTAAGCAATTGCTTTGGTGTTCCTCCACCGCAAAAGAAGATAATTTTTCATTTGGTCACATTGCAGGTTGTCACATGTACGAACTGGGAGAAGAGTGCAACTCTGTGTGTGTGTGTGTGTGTGTGTGTGTGTGTGTGTGTGTGTGTGTGTGTGTGTGTGTGTGTACATGTGTCTACTGCTCTGCAGGTGGTGAGTAGAGGCTTAATGAAAGGGCCAGTTGTTTTAAGGGGGTTGATTTCACAGAGAGCAGATGGATTGGGCTCTCAGTCTCTCTGGTTTCAATTTTGTCCCACACTGCTACTGTCGCCCCATTTAACAGCCAATTTCCTGCCGGCTCATCACAAACACACACAAATACACAGAAAGCGGAAAATCAGCAAAAACAGTGTGAGGCAGCAGACCACAGAGACACACAAAAAGGCAGAAGTGGAGGTGAAACAGTAAGGCATACACACAAACAAATGTTGCCGGGCAAAGTGGATAACAGAGATAGGGACATTTTTTGTGCATAGATAAACAAAAAGACATTTAAAGTACACAGTGGGTACAAACAAATACATTTAACCATGCCATCAAACGCAGACAATGTTAACTGCTATGGGTAAGTGCAGCTGGACACCAAGTTTTTAATGAGCTTGGTCCAAATGTCTTTGCAGGCTGCAGTGCATGAGCGGTTGAGTAATCAAGTACATTTTGCTAAGAAACACTGACACAAACGCATTAATCCCAATTTATCACACAAACAAAGTAATCTCAATTTATCACAAGGAAAGTAATCCCAAATGACCCCTTTCCCTCTGTCCCATTATCTCTCTCACACACTGTGCTCCTGAGCTTTAATACGCTTCAGTTTCTCTGCATTCATTTAAACTCACTATTTTCTGTTTCCATTTTCACTGCTTCATCTTTCTCTCTGACAGACTGCACACTCACACATACCAACACCTGAGTGATTCACACTTACAGGAACACTCTTGCTTCGTCTTTAACTTGCTCTCACACCCACGCAAACTGACACACGGCAAGCTTTGACTACTGCACAGCATACACACATGCTACACACATGTGGAAATGTCCTCAGGACACAGCGTTTCTTATTTTAACTCTAGCAGTAGTGGGAAGTAGCTGGCCTCCAGAAAATGAACTCTGACTTTCTATCTTCACACCTTGGACAGCAGGAGATTGCAATGGCACTCTCTCTTTTTCTGCCTTACCAGTGGTGGTCAACCTACGCTCCTGTTCATGTGATATTGCTGGCAGGCTTATTTAAGACATTTCATTGTTGAGTTTTGGCTTTGCTGGACAACAGCTTGGTGTCTACGCAGTGTAAGTGAAGCAGCCAAAGTGATGTGTGGAGTCAAATTTAAGGATTTAACTCGTAACAGTAATAATGATAATAGCTTAGATTTATATAGCGCATTTCAAGAAATCCAAGGTTACTTTAGACCAGCGGTCCCCAACCCCCGGGCCTCGGACCGGTACCGGTCCGTGAGTCGTTTGGTACCGAGCCGCGAGAGTTGAGGCTCAGGTGTGAAATGTATGGTTTTCAGGGTTTTTATCGGTTTTCAGCGTTATTTTGTTATCGTTTTTATCGTTAACTCGGTTTTCCTGGGTCTTTTCACGTGTGTTATGAATAAATCTTCTTTTTTTCAGTACCGGTACTAGTTTTATTTTGTTGTATTTATCCGCGACACCTTAAAGGCCGGTCTGTGAAAATATTGTCGGGCATAAACCGGTCCGTGGCGCAAAAAAGGTTGGGGACCGCTGCTTTAGACCATTTTTTTTAAAGAGTCAAAAGCCAAAGGCTTTAGTCAGTAGGTGACATTTCAAATGCTTTTTGAGTGTGTTGCAGAACTCAGGGAGGAACATGTTGCAGAGAGTGGGAGCAACAGTGCTGGAGGCTCTGTCCCAAAGGACCACAGCCTGGTGTGAGGGAATGGAGAGAAGGACTTTAACATGTGAACACAGAGTCTGAGATGGGGTTTAGGGGAACAGACGGTCCAATAGATTTTGTGGAGCATGGACATGACATAAATGAGGGTTTCAGCTGCTGTGTCTGGGAGTCAAGGCCAAAGTCTGGAGATGTTTTTCAGATGGTCGAAGGTGGATTTAGAGACAGATTTGATATGTGATGAGAATTAGAGAGTGGAGTCCAGAACAACATCCAGGTTGCAAACATCTGGAGATGGTGAAATGAAGAATATATTCACATTAAGGCCATGATCAGCCACTTTCAGGACGATGGCTTAGAAACAACAACCGACAGTTCGATTTTATTATTGTTCAACTTGACAAAGTTGGTTGACATTCAGATTTTGATGTTTCCCAGAACCTGATAAGGATCAGAGGAAGGTGCTGACTGGAGTGTTTAATGCTGAGATTTAACTGTGTATCATCAGCATAGTAGTGGAACCTCAGCTCAAAATAGTGGATGGTGGCGGTAAATTATGAAAAGAAGAGGTCACAGCACAGATTCTTGGGAGACATTGCCTGACTGTACTAGACAAGGAACATCCAGGTGACATGATCTCTCCTGTCAGCAAGATATGACTGAAATCAGGAGAGCGCTACATCTGTGAGGTGAACATAGTTGGACAGAGTCAAGGAGGATGGAATAAGAGACTGCCAAAAGCTGCTGAAAAGTCCAGGAGAATGAGGATGCTGATGTGGGTCTGCAGCAAAGAGGATGTGATTTGTAATCTTGACGAGAGCAGTCTTAGTGCTGTGTGTCAGGTTCCAAGGGTTCAAAGAGTTTGTGGCGTTGGGAAGCAGCTTCTCTTTCCAGGATTTTACTCATGAACGGAAGGTTTGACTTTGGTTATCAGGGTTCAAGTAAGGTTTTTTAACAATGGAGCAAACAGCAGCTATTTGAGAGCTGAGGGTACCAGTCTAATTTCTAAAGACTTGTTGATATCTTGGCCAAGGTTTTTGGCATAGTGTCCAGGAGACAGGTGGAGTCCTTAGCTCTACAAACCAGCTCAGTAACATGAAAAACATCCAGTGGAGAGAGGGATCAAAGGCAGCACTGCGGCATTTATGAAGTAGGCAGAAAGACATGCTGAGGATGGGATGAGAGTAGAGGTGAGGTGTTGTGTGGGGTAATAGCTGCTGCTCTGGTGTCCAGAAACTTGGAACAGATGAATTCTATTCTATTGTTTCTGCCACTGTACATATTATATGTGTTTTAATGGGATTAAGATTCATTTCAAGTGTACTGTTGTGTGCAAAGGTGTGGAGACACCAAGGTTCTTCTTCTGTTTTTTGAAATAAGGATCTTAATCCAACCACTGCAGCTTTCGATGAATTCTGAGTCTTTAAAGTAAAAAAGCAGCAGCTTTCCCACTAAAGGTCACACTGGTGTAATGTTTCACAATTTCACTGGTTGTGCAGTGGTATTTGAATTTCTCCTCATGATTTCTATGCAGTATACCAACCTTAAAACATGAAACATTTTAATTCAGAGGAAGAGCTTTTACACACATATACTTGCAAGCGGGCTCTCATTGTCACACACAAAACATGTCATTACCTTCTGTGCGGATGGTAAAGGGGGAGTCCCCCAGTCTCTTTGCTGAGAACTGCCCCCCCAGAGAGGTCATTAGAAAACACAGGCTGAAGAAGCCTATTCCCACCACGAATATCCTGCAACACAGTGGGAGGAGAGGGGAAAGGATAAAAGGGGAGTTAAGACAGGAGAAGCATATTTATCAAAATGGGCAGGTAAATTGATATTGTGGGAAAGTAGTTGGAATATAATATAATAATAATAATAATAATAATATAATAATAGAAAGAGAAATAAGAGAGGGAGATTTTTAAGCCACACAATGGAAAAATGATGAAAGGTGCAAAGCATGAAAAGAAAAAGTAGGATTGTACACAGATGAAAATGCCAACAATTACAGAAGACACGTTTTAGTTGAATAAAATGATTGACAGCAAAAAAAGGAGGAAAATAGAAAGATGAGAGGATGGGAGAAAATGTGGAGAAGAGACATGAACAGAGTCAAAAAAAAAAGGAAGAAGTTCCAGAAGGCAGAGCACAAACGGAGCAGTGATCGCACATAGAAGAGAAGACTCTCGAAGCCAAAGGGCACTTGAAACAAACTAGTGTTGTGACATTACTGCTTGGCACACATCAAGAACAACTGCCAAAATAATGTGTTGCTAAGTGCGGGCATAAAAAATTTTAAAAAAAGCAAGTGATTATTAATGCAATGTGAAAGGTGTGCACAGGGAGAGAGGGCAAAAAGGCATCAAGAAGGAAGAATGGAGCCAAAAGCATTACGTTGTTAAAAACGGGTAAGAAAGTGTAATGCTAACTAAAGTCTTTGAAACAAAAAGTGGCATCAGCCAGCCCTCTGTCATAAAACGTTGTTTTGTGGCAAATATCAGATGTTTAAAATGTCACCATAAAACAGAGGGGAAAAGAAAGTGAGGGTCTGTGTCGGTTCTGCCTGGTTAGACGACCATGAGAGAATGCAATCGCTGGCTTAAAAGAGTTTAAAAATCAGGTCTTTGGTGTCGGTATAATTCTTGTCCTAGTTAAGTTACTCTCTTAAGTGTATATGGATCAGAGGTTATCTCATTATGCTGAGAGTCTTTGGGGGAAGAAGCGAGGAAAGGCCGTCAGTGATTTTGATTGACTGGACAAAATAACAGTCAGCCTCTGTGCCTAACAAGTCGAGCCCTACTTTTAAAATGTTGCTCCACTGATAACCTCCACAAATGCCCCCCCTAAAAACTGGGTTAGGTGACAATAAACAAAAGTAAAATAAACAGCAGTTAATTCAGCAACTTAAGCCATATTTCTAAATCATGTATATTTTGGGGGGTAAATTGTTTAACCATACAAATTATACCCATCTTAAACAGCATGATTTTGTATTATCACTATGGCAATTCACACAAATAAAATTTTTGGACAGAACTTAAAGTGGTAGAAGAAAACAAATATATGAATAATTTATATTTGCTTTTCCTCCAGAGCCAGGCATGAGTTGTTTACATGAATGCCTGGCCCACTATAAAATCTGACAGCACTTCCTGAAATGGTAAGCAGCTCCTGTCACACCAGTTTCTGAATTAAACCTCTTAATATTGAGGAAACAAATTACTATCAACACTGAGGAGGAACGACCACTTAAAAGAACATTTGCTGAGCTGATCTAATCAAAAGGGATAGAGATGATGTCGAATAATTTGTTAAGTGTACAGCTTGGCGGTTTGGCAAGCCACTGGAGCGACTCTGACTTCAAGATAGAGCCAGTGTGTCCTGTCCTGAGTCACAGAAAATGCAATCAGGTATAATCCAGCAAAGCTTCTCTTCTTTGAGAAACTTTTTTTTCCATCCTTCTTGAACACAAGAACACACTAAAACTGAAAAAGTCATATTGATCGTAGCTTGAGTTTAATGGGTTGCACCAAATACAAGCTGCTATACGGTTGAATTCAATTATTTACAGCGCAGGACACACACACAGTAATTTGTGCACAAGTACATTTTGACATGAGCCTTCCCAATCCTCCTTCTCAGCGTTATTTTCTGGCGCCAAAAGCAGGTTATTCAACAACACTTTAAAGTGATTATCACCGTGCCCGTCAAGATTACAGCGAATGGCTTGAATAAATAAAGTGTCAGCATGTTAACAGACTTTTTGTGTGTGTAGAATTTCTTTATTGATTTACAGAACATAATCACAGTTGCTATTTCAAAGTCTCAGTATCTAACCATTGCTGCACGCTCTCATTTGTTCTGCTTTATCATTTAGTTGTTTGTCTCTCCCAGGAAACTGCAATATTAAGAAATACTAAACCCC